CGCAGCAGCCCCTTCCGCATGAGGTCGATCTTGATGCTCTCCTCCTGGAACACGAGGGCGCCCCAGGGCTCAAGGCGGATCTGGAAGCTATTCTTCTGGCCAACCGCCTGGCCGTACTCCCAGACCCCGACGATCCTCGTGGCCGCAGGCCAACAGGGCGGGCCCTGCAGTTGCGGAGGGAGGCGGCGGGGTCGGCGGGGTCGGCGGCAGCCTGCGAGGCTCTGGAGAAGCCCTCCGCAGGCTGCACGCTTTGCACACTTCACACTGCACAGCGCGCCCGCCGCAGGCACCGACTCTGCATCAAAGCAATGCGAGTGTCGCGGGTGGATCGCGGATAAGTCGCGGGTGGGCGGCGGGCGGGACGCGGGCGGGTCGTGGGTGGGTCGCGCGCGGGTCGCGGGTGTGTCGCGGGTGGGTGGCGGGCAGGTCGCTGGCGGGTCGCGGGATGAGTCGCGGGCGGGTAGCGGGCGAGAACAACGACGACAACAACAAGCATACAGCAAGAATCCTCACCGCGAAAGCCACCTTCAGTCACGCACGCAGGGATTGTGTAAGATCGCTCGAGCCCAGTGTAGTGAGCGGCGGAAGCCATTCTCTACCTACATCCACGTCAATAATAGAACCATGACCATCACCATCACTGCCATCAACGGCATCACCACACGTATCAGCACCATCATCACCACCAGAACCATCAGCACCATCAGCACCATCATCATCATCATCATCATCATCATCATCATCATCATCATCATCATCATCATCATCATCATCATCAGCATCATTATCATCATCATCATACTAATCATCATCATCATCAGTATCGTCATCATCAGCAGCAGCAGTATCATCATCATCATCATCATCATCATCATCATCATCATCATCATCATCATCATCATCATCATCATCATCATCACAACCATCATCATCATCATCACCGCCAGCATCACCCTCATCATCATCGTCACCATCACCATCCTCAGAGCCATCATCAGCATGAGAAGGATCATCGTCATCTTCATCATCAGCATCATCATCAGCATCATCATCATCAGCATCATGATCATTATCAGCATCAACAGCGTCATCGTCAGCAGCATCATCATCGTCATCAGCATAACCACAATTAGCATCATCACCATCATCATCACCGACATCGTCATCAACACCACCTCTACCTCCCAACCCATTATCACCACCACCATCAGATTCATCATGATCGTCGTCATCCTCGTCACCACCGTCATCTTCACCAGCACCACCGCAGTCAACATCATCATCAGCAGCAGCAGTAGCAGCAGTCGCATCATCATGGTGACCATGAGCATGAACATCGAAATCAGACCCACCAGCATCATCATCGCACGTAATGTCGGACACCCTGCTGCCATGCTGGTGAGAGGTGATGATAGGACGAGGACGAGTCGGATGATGAGGATGAGGAGGAGTGGACCAGACTTGACAACATGCGGTGCGCCCTGTCGCCATCCCAATCATCTGTTGGAAGAAAGGATGGATACGCCTCATTTCTTTTTGGGGGCCGCCGCCCCATGATCATCTGCTACCTGCGAAGCGGAGCATTCCCTGTGTCCTCCTACAGGCGGATTCTGGACGAACAATTGAAAATAGTCCATGTTGGAACGTCGCCCCCATGTTGGATATTATCATACTTTGTAATCTGAATCGTAGGAAGAAATGTTGGAATAATAAATATTGAATAGTCGGGAAACATTGTTGGACTTATTTTTGGATATTCCTCCGGCATAGGGACGGGGCCGACTCGACTCTGGTGGCCAAAACACAGGAAATTCTCAGAGCCTCAAGCCTCGAGGGTCCGGGGGGGCGAGGGGGAGGCAGGAGCGACGACGGGAGGGGACCGACTGCAGCCGAACTCTATAGGAAGGACGGGCGGTAAGGACGCAAGGGCGTTGGACGCCGACGACCCCGAAAGGCTGGCCAGTGATTCACTGGATTAATGTACTGCTGGAGTCCTAGGGCTCTATGAACTCAATGGCTTCAGAAACCGTCTTCGGACCCTCGTCAGAAGAGGCAAACTGCAGGTGGTGCCGCTAGGCCCTTCATAGATTGCTTCAGCTCCAGACACCCGTCTGCAGATCGGCCTGTCGTGGCGGTCGCTTCCCTGCCAGAGCCGATGACGTCGCTGGAAAGGGCTGGCCAGTGAAAACCGCGAAGGACGGGCTGCAAAGGCAAGGACGCACGGATACCCTGAGGACATCTGTGCGTCTGTACTATGAGTTTTGACTGTACCCGCCAAGCCACCCCAACCCCACCCGAAGTCGCCGCTGGGCCTGCCAATTTCCAGTGGGGGGGACGTTCTGGAACATCGAGAACACACACAATGGAACCCGTACACCCCCCAACCCTAATTCTAGGGGGGGTCCGAGACCTTCGGGTTAGATTGGTATGATTTTCGGCGGTGGACAAACCTCCATTTAGCAGACATCCCCTCAGTGAAAACGGCCGGGGACCGAAACCG